CCTATATCCCAACATTTAACTTTCCATTATACAATTTAGCATTTAAAAAGTAAATCAGTTAGCAGTTTTTTGTTTTTTTTTATTTCTGAGATATATTAAACATTAACGATACTCAAGTGAAAAATATCCACTACTTGATAAATATTGGACATGGTACTGGCGAAAGAAAACCACACCCAGTTTGGACACACTATAAATTTCAACACAAAATTACTTGAATCCTACCATTAAAAAAAAAATACTGGATACATTTTAGCTCACACCTTTACATATTTACAATTATTACTTAATGATGTAACGTTTTAAACAACAGCCTGAAAAAAAATTATGATCCCGATAATCACAAGGAAGTCAAAACAGTAAGTAAGGGTTGGTTGCGGACAGCCGCCGATAGAGAAGGTGGGCGAGAACGGAGGAGAAGTAATAAATAATTGCACTCAAAACGAGAGAAGAAATCAAAAAATATTTTTGTTCATATTTTTTTATGTTCCTATTTTTGTTCGTGTGTTATATATAATATATATTTCATTTTTGTGCTGTGTTTAAAATTGAGAGCCATTTAAAAAAGATAAAATAACTCTCTTTGTAATTTTATATGTTTAAGACAGGTGATATATTTTTTCTTTTTGGGTTATAAACATGAGAATTTGAGAGCGAATTTAAAAACAAAACAACAGAGACTTTTAAGGCCCTGGTCCTCGGGCCAGTGGCGGACTGTAGCTGGCTTCCTGTTACACAAATGATGGTGTGCCAGTCCAGGGGCAGCTGTCAGCCGAAGTGTACCTGTCCTTGTAGGAGCCGCACCGGCAAACAGTAGTTGGGCCAACAAACCAATAGAGGGTCATAGGCATGCCGATAGTTATTGTTTGTTGGACATACACAAAATGTTGATAAAATATTTGCAAATTGCCAAAATACTGAGTAAAATCCAATTATTTCACTCCTTTTTTTTAGAGCTGTAGTAATCATATAAACTTTTATATTCAGTTTAACCATATATAACCGCCCCCTGAAATATTTTATTTATTTTATTTTATTTATTTATGTAGTAGTTTACATTTATATTAAACAGTAATATAATTAATTATAGGAACAAGAGAAAAATAAATAACTCTATTACTTAATTACTTAATTCCTAAATTGAGGTCACCCTCTAAATAATATTTAAAATGAAAACTTCTACTCTAGTGCACGATTGTACTTAAAGTACTGTGTGTGCACTCTTTTTCTTATACATGTATCTTTGAGGTTTTTTTTTATTTTTTTTTATTTATTTATTTTTTTTTTTTTAATAACAAAAAATATATTCTTATTTAAGCTAAGTATAACAGATTTTTGTACTAAAGTAGTAGAAATGTGGTAACAATAATTCGATAGGAGATAGTAAAATAAGTATATATATATATGAACAATAATTGTGTGATATATTATTTAAAATTAAACTTAAAATTAAACTATATAATTAATTACATAATTGCTTTGGAGTATCCACTGTCTTATCTCTTTTTTACACTTAGAATATGGTTTTACTTTAATATCATTAGGAAGGCAGTTAAAGATTTTTGGACCAAGACAATAAATATGATTTTGGCAAATGATGTGCTTGGGGTTTTGGCGTGCGACATTGTTTTGAGCTGCATTTCTTGTGTTACGCCCATGGCTTATGGATTCCTTATAGTAGGAAAATTTTAACATGAATCTAACTACTGCTTTAAGGTGTAACTGTCTAATATCTAATAACTGACTCTCTTTGAAAAGCAATTCAGTAGGAAACCTTTTATTTTTAAATAACATAATTTTTATGATATATTTTTGTGCAACCTGTAGTTTGTTTAAAACCGTCACTCCGGCACTACCCCAAACCACCAACCCATAATTCAAAATTGATTCAGCCAGTGCATAATACACCATCTTTAATGTGCTAAAACTCAAGACATGGCGTAACTCATAAAATTTATATATTAATTTCCTTATTTTGCTTGTGACATAGGTAATATGTTCTTTCCAAGTAAAATTTTGATCTACAAGAACCCCTAAGTATTTTATACATTTCACCCTTTCAATCAATTTATTGCATTCACAATTCTGGTTTAGATCACAGTCATGGTTATGTATTTTTAGGTTTTCAAATTCTGGTAGTGAGCGTGGGGAGAGAGCAAAAGTGACAAATTTTGTTTTGTTGACATTTAAGGATAGTAGGCTATTGTCTAGCCATCTCTTGATTATTTGCATTGCTTTCTCTGCACGATCCTTTGTACTCTCCCAATCGTCACCCCAAAACAGTATACCAGAGTCATCGGCAAAGCAGATCACCACGCCATTCTCAGCCAAAACTGACATCATGTCATTGATATATATATATTAAATAATAACGTTGAAAGGACTGTCCCCTGTGGCACACCAAATTCTACTTCCATTTCTTCACTAACCTCATTTGAAACATTGAAACATACTTAAAATACCCTGTATGTTTTAAATTTTTAGAAGATATACAAAATGCAATTTATTAGAATTAAATATTTTGTTAAAATAAAAGTTAAAACCAAAGAAAAATGTGTACAATTATTATTCCTAAAGATACATTAAACAAAACAAAAAATTTTGTAATTTTTAAATACTTAAACAAAATGTTTTATTTCAAAATGGTACTTAAAATAAATGAAGCCATTTTAAAATTTATTATAATATTTATTCTTGTAATAATTGTTATTAAATCCTTGCGAAAAATCTATAAACAATGGCAATGAAACAACAACAAAACATTGGTGAATTGAAAAAATAACACCAAAATGGTGATTTCATCAGTGGCGTAGAATTTAGAGTTAAAATTGTTCTTCTGTCCCTCCGCACGCCTCTGGTAACGGTTAAAAACATACTTTTTCACATTTTAATGTGTTATAAAATACTTAATCCATCTGATTAATTTTACAAATATTTAATATTGTACAAAATAATTGACAAAAATAATTTTTAAATAAAAGTAAGAAAACATATTTTTGATGAAACACCCTGTATAATTTAAGTTTCTAATACTGCTCTTCAAAATCTGGTCCAAATTATAAAATTCCCTATCTATTCAAAGGTACAATAAGATATTTGTATGTACCAACATGAGATTACATAAAAGAGCAGCTGTTTAGGGTTCAGGTAAAAATTTGGGCAGGCAAAAATAAAAATATGAATGTACAGAAAAAATAGGTAAAATTACAAATGTTATTTATTTATTAATATCTTAGATTTATTCTAAAATATAATTACTTACCTCAATTAAGAAATGGTCAGTATGATGAATTATTTATTGTAAATTATACATGTAAATGTATTTTTTACTTTCCTATCTGTATACAGATATAAGGAAAGTATAGGAATCATGATTTTTTTCGACCTCGAGTTTTCGACGGATTTTTACGTTTTGAGGTCCCCTGAATCCGTTTTGACTATTTTCGCGATGATGTCTGTGTGTGTGTCTGTAGGTCGCATAACTCATGAACCGATACACAGAAAAACACCAAATTTTAAACTTAAGCTTTATTCCAGCGTCTAATGAACTGATTAGATTTTGGACAGAGTCGGAACATCTGGGGGGGTACTTTATAGGTGGTCATTTTTATATTTTATGGAATATATCTGTTATTTATGTTTGGAGAAGAAAATTCTTCAAATAAAAGTTACTTCTAATATAATTATCTATAATTTTTGTTCTATACAAAATTTTCCTAAAATGGTCCGTATTCGAGAAATTTGACAAAATGTAAAAAAAATATTTTTTTATAAAAATTGTTCAAATAAAAGTTGTTTGTAATATAATTCTCTATAATTTTTATTCTATACATAATTTCTCTAAAATGGACCGTATTCGAGATATTTGAGAAAATGTGTAAATTTCGAATTTTGAAAACTCAAAAACGGATAAAGAAAAAAACATTAAATTTTAAACTTAAGGTTTATTTCTGCCTGACGTGAAATGATTAGATTTTGGACAAAGTCGGAACATCTAGGGGGGTACTTTATGGGAGGCAGTTTTTATATTTTATGGAATATATCTGTTATTTATGTTTGGAGAAGAAAATTGTTCAAATAAAAGTTACTTCTAATATTATTATCTATAATTTTTGTTTTATGTCAAAATTTCCTGAAATGGTCCGTATTCGAGAAATTTGACAAAATGTGGAAAATTCTGATTTTTATGAAAATTGTTGAACTTAAAGTTGTTTGCGATATCGATCTCTATAATTTTTGTTTATACATGATTTTTCTAAAATGGACCGTAAAAAGTGCTAAATTTAAATTTTTCAGTATTTTCGTTTTCAATGAATATCTATAGAAAAATGTTTCGAGGTAGATGTATGTGGACAATGTATATATTTAGTTTATCCTCTAAACATTTATAGAGATGCTGCAATAGGTTGTACAAAATAACCGGAAAAAGCCTATAATAACTAGATAGGAAAGTCATGTGTTGGACACATCAGATTTTTATTTAAATACATATTTCCATCCAAATAATTACTGTGTCCATCAATTATAGTCCACTCTATATAAATCTCAATTGAACCAAAATAGTTATTGCTTACTTAAGTTTGTTATTGATTATTTGAAACTCTGAGTAAAGTTACATGTAGGTTTACTTGACAGATTAAAAAACAAAAGCTCTACAGTTTAATCAACAAGTAGTTACTGTCAACTATACCAGGAGGTAAAAAGCCCTAAGTATAACAATTTAAATTGGGACTCTGATATACTACTATGAGCAGGTATATTAAGATTTTCCTATTTAAATAAATTCAGGCATACAATTACTGATATTTTATATTATAAATCAAGGGTAACTTTAGAAATGTATAATCTATATAAGTATTAAAAGGAATGAGGGAGGAAAAGTAGGATTTTCCCACTTTAATGTAAGTAGAAGACAACCACTAATGAGAAAAAATATATTTTATAATTATTGTACCTATTAAATAAAAAGTTTGCAATTAGAATTAAAGTAAGTACCATACCTCTTGTTGCCCTGATGGCAGCCTTAACTTCGACAGTCACTTCATCATTATCATCATTACTAACAGCTGACAAACGTCTTCCCCTCACTGGTTTAACTTCTGAAGGAGCTGGGGAACTTACAGCAACTATTCTACAAGACCTTCTTAAAGGGGATCGTGGGGTAGCAGTTTCTTCTGCTTGTATTTCTGATGGGCGCGGCATTTTGAGTTTATATGAACAGCTGTAGGACAAAAAAATAATGCAGGTATTCAAAAAAATACTTTCTTGTCACCCAGGCTCCATACAGTTCAAATTTTGCCCCAATAGTAAGATGTTAAAATTTATATTCTAAATAATTAGATTTTTACAAAACTATGGTAACATTAAAGATATTTTCTTAGTTTTCTTTTGTTAAAAATATAGGGAAAACTATTGACTTTATTACAGTTCATTCACATTAAAACCGAAAAAATTTGGTTCCACTTAAAAATTTTACAATATAACCGTTACATATATTTTTAAAATATTTTGATAAGTCCAACGGAAATTTAGAAATTCAAAAATTTATAACAACTAGGTTATGATACAAATTTTGTACTAATCTGCAGTAAGTTTCAATAAAAATTAAGAACAATCAATAAAACTGACTGAATAAAAAAACATCCATACAACAATGAGAAAAACTGGCTCTCTGGTAACAAAAACCAATCGTAAATTGTGCCGCAAAAGCAATTTTGCGTATCATAAAATAAATATAAATTTATGAATTTTATAGTCTGACAATATTTAGTTTAGCGTACCTGATATATTTCTTTAAACTTAACAAAACATTACAAATTAAAACGAATTTATAACAAATTATCTAAAATTAACACGTGCACTTTATTCACACAGAACCAGCTGTAAAGACGCAATTTAAACGGACAAAAATGTCAAAAGTCAAAAAACGAAAAATCACTGTTGCCAAAGTCAAATTGTAAGGTTTATCGTTAAAGAGGGTTACGACATTGACATTAGTAATTTTTAAATAGTTTGAATTCTTTAAAATTATGTTGAAAACTGTTAGTGCAAATACTATGTAGTTCATAAAATTACGACATTACTATGGTTTATCAGTGAAAAGTTTAAAAGTTCTCGTGACGAATTCATTCGCAAAATCATGCACACAGTCATTGCGTTCGGTTTGCCAAGTTCCTTTAACGCCTTTAACACTTTTTACTCCAAACGACCCTTTTAGCGTTCGGTTTAGTCCGATTAGTGACAGTTTAACACGCTTAAATGTCATTTAAAAGCACCCTAAAAACTCCGCTTTTGTCCTGCTCCAGCCCCTGACTATCCGAACTCGCCTTTTGATTACAGGCAGGGTTGCCAACCGGTCTTTACCACTTTACTCTCAAACACTTTTTCGGATTACTCCACTGAACCACGGCATAAGAAACAATCCTTTTTATAAGGGCCGATTCCACCGTTGTGTTAAACGGAGATTAAAATGAAATTGTTAATGTAAAAATATCATTTTAAACTTCGTTTAACACAACGGTGGAATCGGTCCTTATGCCTTGACTGAATTGTAACTGTTACTGGAACGCTAGTAACCATAGAAAAATAAAAATAACAGAAAATGACCTATAATATTTATTTTTACTTTTCTATCTGTATACAGATAAGGAAAGTATAGGAATCATGATTTTTTTCGACCTCCAGTTTTCGACGGATTTTTACGTTTTGGGGTCCCCTGAATCCGTTTTGACTATTTTCGGGATGATGTATGTCTGTCTGTTTGTCTGTCTGTCTGTCTGTCTGTCTGTCTGTCTGTCTGTCTGTCTGTCTGTCTGTCTGTCTGTCTGTCTGTCTGTCTGTCTGTCTGTCTGTCTGTCTGTCTGTCTGTCTGTCTGTCTGTCTGTCTGTCTGTCTGTCTGTCTGTCTGTCTGTCTGTCTGTCTGTCTGTCTGTCTGTCTGTCTGTCTGTCTGTCTGTCTGTCTGTCTGTCTGTCTGTCTGTCTGTCTGTCTGTCTGTCTGTCTGTCTGTCTGTCTGTCTGTCTGTCTGTCTGTCTGTCTGTCTGTCTGTCTGTCTGTCTGTCTGTCTGTCTGTCTGTCTGTCTGTCTGTCTGTCTGTCTGTCTGTCTGTCTGTCTGTCTGTCTGTCTGTCTGTCTGTCTGTCTGTCTGTCTGTCTGTCTGTCTGTCTGTCTGTCTGTCTGTCTGTCTGTCTGTCTGTCTGTCTGTCTGTCTGTCTGTCTGTCTGTCTGTCTGTCTGTCTGTCTGTCTGTCTGTCTGTCTGTCTGTCTGTCTGTCTGTCTGTCTGTCTGTCTGTCTGTCTGTCTGTCTGTCTGTCTGTCTGTCTGTCTGTCTGTCTGTCTGTCTGTCTGTCTGTCTGTCTGTCTGTCTGTCTGTCTGTCTGTCTGTCTGTCTGTCTGTCTGTCTGTCTGTCTGTCTGTCTGTCTGTCTGTCTGTCTGTCTGTCTGTCTGTCTGTCTGTCTGTCTGTCTGTCTGTCTGTCTGTCTGTCTGTCTGTCTGTCTGTCTGTCTGTCTGTCTGTCTGTCTGTCTGTCTGTCTGTCTGTCTGTCTGTCTGTCTGTCTGTCTGTCTGTCTGTCTGTCTGTCTGTCTGTCTGTCTGTCTGTCTGTCTGTCTGTCTGTCTGTCTGTCTGTCTGTCTGTCTGTCTGTCTGTCTGTCTGTCTGTCTGTCTGTCTGTCTGTCTGTCTGTCTGTCTGTCTGTCTGTCTGTCTGTCTGTCTGTCTGTCTGTCTGTCTGTCTGTCTGTCTGTCTGTCTGTCTGTCTGTCTGTCTGTCTGTCTGTCTGTCTGTCTGTCTGTCTGTCTGTCTGTCTGTCTGTCTGTCTGTCTGTCTGTCTGTCTGTCTGTCTGTCTGTCTGTCTGTCTGTCTGTCTGTCTGTCTGTCTGTCTGTCTGTCTGTCTGTCTGTCTGTCTGTCTGTCTGTCTGTCTGTCTGTCTGTCTGTCTGTCTGTCTGTCTGTCTGTCTGTCTGTCTGTCTGTCTGTCTGTCTGTCTGTCTGTCTGTCTGTCTGTCTGTCTGTCTGTCTGTCTGTCTGTCTGTCTGTCTGTCTGTCTGTCTGTCTGTCTGTCTGTCTGTCTGTCTGTCTGTCTGTCTGTCTGTCTGTCTGTCTGTCTGTCTGTCTGTCTGTCTGTCTGTCTGTCTGTCTGTCTGTCTGTCTGTCTGTCTGTCTGTCTGTCTGTCTGTCTGTCTGTCTGTCTGTCTGTCTGTCTGTCTGTCTGTCTGTCTGTCTGTCTGTCTGTCTGTCTGTCTGTCTGTCTGTCTGTCTGTCTGTCTGTCTGTCTGTCTGTCTGTCTGTCTGTCTGTCTGTCTGTCTGTCTGTCTGTCTGTCTGTCTGTCTGTCTGTCTGTCTGTCTGTCTGTCTGTCTGTCTGTCTGTCTGTCTGTCTGTCTGTCTGTCTGTCTGTCTGTCTGTCTGTCTGTCTGTCTGTCTGTCTGTCTGTCTGTCTGTCTGTCTGTCTGTCTGTCTGTCTGTCTGTCTGTCTGTCTGTCTGTCTGTCTGTCTGTCTGTCTGTCTGTCTGTCTGTCTGTCTGTCTGTCTGTCTGTCTGTCTGTCTGTCTGTCTGTCTGTCTGTCTGTCTGTCTGTCTGTCTGTCTGTCTGTCTGTCTGTCTGTCTGTCTGTCTGTCTGTCTGTCTGTCTGTCTGTCTGTCTGTCTGTCTGTCTGTCTGTCTGTCTGTCTGTCTGTCTGTCTGTCTGTCTGTCTGTCTGTCTGTCTGTCTGTCTGTCTGTCTGTCTGTCTGTCTGTCTGTCTGTCTGTCTGTCTGTCTGTCTGTCTGTCTGTCTGTCTGTCTGTCTGTCTGTCTGTCTGTCTGTCTGTCTGTCTGTCTGTCTGTCTGTCTGTCTGTCTGTCTGTCTGTCTGTCTGTCTGTCTGTCTGTCTGTCTGTCTGTCTGTCTGTCTGTCTGTCTGTCTGTCTGTCTGTCTGTCTGTCTGTCTGTCTGTCTGTCTGTCTGTCTGTCTGTCTGTCTGTCTGTCTGTCTGTCTGTCTGTCTGTCTGTCTGTCTGTCTGTCTGTCTGTCTGTCTGTCTGTCTGTCTGTCTGTCTGTCTGTCTGTCTGTCTGTCTGTCTGTCTGTCTGTCTGTCTGTCTGTCTGTCTGTCTGTCTGTCTGTCTGTCTGTCTGTCTGTCTGTCTGTCTGTCTGTCTGTCTGTCTGTCTGTCTGTCTGTCTGTCTGTCTGTCTGTCTGTCTGTCTGTCTGTCTGTCTGTCTGTCTGTCTGTCTGTCTGTCTGTCTGTCTGTCTGTCTGTCTGTCTGTCTGTCTGTCTGTCTGTCTGTCTGTCTGTCTGTCTGTCTGTCTGTCTGTCTGTCTGTCTGTCTGTCTGTCTGTCTGTCTGTCTGTCTGTCTGTCTGTCTGTCTGTCTGTCTGTCTGTCTGTCTGTCTGTCTGTCTGTCTGTCTGTCTGTCTGTCTGTCTGTCTGTCTGTCTGTCTGTCTGTCTGTCTGTCTGTCTGTCTGTCTGTCTGTCTGTCTGTCTGTCTGTCTGTCTGTCTGTCTGTCTGTCTGTCTGTCTGTCTGTCTGTCTGTCTGTCTGTCTGTCTGTCTGTCTGTCTGTCTGTCTGTCTGTCTGTCTGTCTGTCTGTCTGTCTGTCTGTCTGTCTGTCTGTCTGTCTGTCTGTCTGTCTGTCTGTCTGTCTGTCTGTCTGTCTGTCTGTCTGTCTGTCTGTCTGTCTGTCTGTCTGTCTGTCTGTCTGTCTGTCTGTCTGTCTGTCTGTCTGTCTGTCTGTCTGTCTGTCTGTCTGTCTGTCTGTCTGTCTGTCTGTCTGTCTGTCTGTCTGTCTGTCTGTCTGTCTGTCTGTCTGTCTGTCTGTCTGTCTGTCTGTCTGTCTGTCTGTCTGTCTGTCTGTCTGTCTGTCTGTCTGTCTGTCTGTCTGTCTGTCTGTCTGTCTGTCTGTCTGTCTGTCTGTCTGTCTGTCTGTCTGTCTGTCTGTCTGTCTGTCTGTCTGTCTGTCTGTCTGTCTGTCTGTCTGTCTGTCTGTCTGTCTGTCTGTCTGTCTGTCTGTCTGTCTGTCTGTCTGTCTGTCTGTCTGTCTGTCTGTCTGTCTGTCTGTCTGTCTGTCTGTCTGTCTGTCTGTCTGTCTGTCTGTCTGTCTGTCTGTCTGTCTGTCTGTCTGTCTGTCTGTCTGTCTGTCTGTCTGTCTGTCTGTCTGTCTGTCTGTCTGTCTGTCTGTCTGTCTGTCTGTCTGTCTGTCTGTCTGTCTGTCTGTCTGTCTGTCTGTCTGTCTGTCTGTCTGTCTGTCTGTCTGTCTGTCTGTCTGTCTGTCTGTCTGTCTGTCTGTCTGTCTGTCTGTCTGTCTGTCTGTCTGTCTGTCTGTCTGTCTGTCTGTCTGTCTGTCTGTCTGTCTGTCTGTCTGTCTGTCTGTCTGTCTGTCTGTCTGTCTGTCTGTCTGTCTGTCTGTCTGTCTGTCTGTCTGTCTGTCTGTCTGTCTGTCTGTCTGTCTGTCTGTCTGTCTGTCTGTCTGTCTGTCTGTCTGTCTGTCTGTCTGTCTGTCTGTCTGTCTGTCTGTCTGTCTGTCTGTCTGTCTGTCTGTCTGTCTGTCTGTCTGTCTGTCTGTCTGTCTGTCTGTCTGTCTGTCTGTCTGTCTGTCTGTCTGTCTGTCTGTCTGTCTGTCTGTCTGTCTGTCTGTCTGTCTGTCTGTCTGTCTGTCTGTCTGTCTGTCTGTCTGTCTGTCTGTCTGTCTGTCTGTCTGTCTGTCTGTCTGTCTGTCTGTCTGTCTGTCTGTCTGTCTGTCTGTCTGTCTGTCTGTCTGTCTGTCTGTCTGTCTGTCTGTCTGTCTGTCTGTCTGTCTGTCTGTCTGTCTGTCTGTCTGTCTGTCTGTCTGTCTGTCTGTCTGTCTGTCTGTCTGTCTGTCTGTCTGTCTGTCTGTCTGTCTGTCTGTCTGTCTGTCTGTCTGTCTGTCTGTCTGTCTGTCTGTCTGTCT